TGTCTGCTTACGGGGGTAAACTAATGAACAAGAAAGACATGGTCACTTCTCTCACAGAGACCAGTGAGGTGCATAAACAAGAAAAACATATTTCCTATATACTGGGATCATTGCTATGATTAATAAAATGTCCAGGTGCCATGGGAGTCAAGGTGGTCAGGGAAGGCTTCCTGGAGGAGGTGATGTGTACACGGAGTATTGCTGGATGAGTAGATGTTAGCTGAGTGTGAAAGAGTGTGAAATAGAAAATGTTTCATGCAGAAAGAATCTAGACTCTAAATGAGAAAGAATGTGACACATTCCAGAGACTAAAATTAGTTTAATAATACTGAATGTGAAGTAGGAGGGAAGTGACTTCAAGAGGAGGGTGGGAGAATATACGAGAATTAGGCAGGGAGGGTAATGGGGAGACAGGGAGTGACTTTATGCAGGTAACGGCTTTATGAGATTTATGTTTTTAAAACATCATTTGGGCTGCGTGCGATGCAGTGAATGGAGGGAAAGGTGAGAGGCGAGGTTGGAGGCAGAGAAGCGAGGATTAGCCAAAAAGTGCTAGTGGCTTGACTTACAGATGCAGCAGTGAAGATGGAAAGAAGTGGATGGGCGGGAGAGGGAGGACTTCCCAGGACTTGGAAGTATTTGGATGCTGGTGATGAGAGAGAGTTAGGCATCAAACTTATGTTTCCCATTTACTGAAATGGGAAACATAAGAGAAATTGTGGTTTCACTCCTTGAAATGGAAAAAGAATAAGAAATGATTTTTATTTGGGACAAGAAAAAAAATGAGTTATCTCTGGTACATTTAAGTGAAGATTTGGCCCTAGAGGTCAAGAGAAAGGAACAGAGTTATAAATCTTGAATCTATAGAACCTGTAGAAGATAACTGACAATTCTATTGGACAAATCCAAAGGTATTATTATTTATTTATTTATTTATTTATTTTTGAGACAGAGTCTCGCTTTCTTGCCTAGGCTAGAGTGAGTGCCGTGGCGTCAGCCTGGCTCACAGCAACCTCAAACTCCTGGGCTCAAGCGATCCTCCTGCCTCAGCCTCCCGAGTAGCTGGGACTACAGGCACGAGCCACCATGCCCGGCTGATATATATATATATATATATATATATATATATATATATATATATATATATTAGTTGGCCAATTAATTTCTCTTGCTCAGGCTGGTTTTGAACTCCTGACCTTGAGCAATCCGCCCGCCTCGGCCTCTCCAAAGGCATTATTTTTTAATTTAAATTCCTCTGGCCACCTCATTTGCTTCGGACATAGTTGATCATCTTCTTGATAACTGTTGTATGTTTGCTTTCACAAATATTCTCCTTTCTATTTAGCATGTAATAACCTTGACAAAAATTAAGCTTCTTTCCAGAGTTTCATGGGACTTATATTGAGTTATAAAAAGAAGGAAAGAAGAAGGAAGCGAAATAGTAGGAGAAAGAGGAAGAGGAGTGAGAGGAGAAGAAGAAAGATAAGTCCAGTTTGGACCTGTATACATTGTACCAATCAATTAATTCATTTAATATATATAATATTTATTATTGTTCAGGCACATACTCAATTAGTTGCTGGAGAGACAATGGTGACTTCTGACGCTAATAACGGGGTTCTGAAGGTAGACATTAAGTGAATAATTAGCCACATTAATCTATAACTATACCTTGCTTTAAGTGCTATGAAGTGAACAACATCTGAGAAAATTTTGATACTCAATGAGTAGTCCATGCACAAGTGGCATCAACATCACCTGGGAGCTTGTTAGAAAACCAGACTCTCAGTATCCACCCAAGAACTACTGAGATTGGATCTGCATTTTAACAAGATCCCTGGGGCATTTGCATGCACATTAAAATTGGAAACATGCTGCTCTAGAATTCACAGGGCTACAAGAGAAAACAACAGGTGGACCTGAACCCATCTTGTGGGGCAGGGAAGGGTTCCCTGGAAAAATGGCCACTGATTAAGCTAGAGAGGTTTGGCAGGGGCTAGACTGTACAGAGCCTTGTAGGCCATGTTGAGGGCTTTTATGTTTTTCTTAAGAGTAGCCTCAAATATTTAAAGGTTGCATTAGTCAACTATGGCTGCCATAACAAAGTACCATAGCATGGGTGGCTTATACAACAGAAATTTATTTCTCACAGTTCTAGAGGTTGCAAGTCCAAGATCAGGGTCCCAGCATGGTGACAGCCCTCTTCCTGGCTCACTGGGGGCTGAGTTCTAGTTGTGTCTTCACATCAGAGAGAAAGAAAAAGAGATCTCTTTCTAGTGTTTCTTCTTACAAGATGCAAATCCAATCACAAAGGTCCCATCCTCGTGACTTCATCTAAATAAATCACCTCCCAAAGACCCCATCTCCTAATACCATCACATTGGGGGTTAGAACTTGAGCATATAAATTGGAGGGGGGCACAATTTCATCCACAGCAAAGGTTTTACCAAAGGAGTGTGGAAAAGTCAGGTTTCTGTTTTTTAATTCTTGTTCTGGCTGAAGTGTAGAAAGGGGTTCAAAGGGGTCAGAAATGTATTCAGGAGACCGGCGAAGGGGCTATTTCAATAGTCACAGTGAAAGTCATTCTGATTGCCTAGACAAAGCTGTTTGGTAGAGAGGGAGCAAAGTGAAATACTTCAAAATATTTAGGTGTTAAACTTGACAGACTTAGATAATGGATTTCAAATGGTGGTTGAGAGAGGAGTGCCAAAAATGACTGCCAGGTTTTTGGCTTGTGCAACTGGACGCATATGATATCAATTCTCGAGATAGGAATCATGAAATCAGCAAGTTTGCTCATGGCATCTGGCTAAATGCAAATACCAATAAGAATGATGGCTGTCATTAGTGAGCATTTATTATGCGCCAGCCAGCCACTGTAGAGATGTTTGGTGCGCCTTCTCTTAACTAATATGTGACACAAACTTTGCCTTCTGAGATGGAAAGAGCAACTCAGGCAAGCTAGTTACACAAGACCACATTGTTGAGGGTTTCCAATGGCCTGGTACAATGAACAATGCAGAGTGCATTCACAGGAGCACATCAGAGAAAATAATGCAGCCAGGGAAGAAAAGACAGAAGAAAGGGAGTGAGAGCTGAGGTCTAAAGATTGAGCAAGGCAGAAATAACCATGACTCTGTCCAGAAGTTCACTCAGGAAAACAGCGGAGGAGAAGTTGAGTAGAAAGGGAGAGGCCACGTTAGGAAGGACCATGAAAGTCTATAATTCTGATTTTATAGAGAGAAGGATTTGAATATGAAAGGAACATGACTTTACACGACTTAAGAAAACCGGTCTGGCAATAAGGGAACTTGAGGATGAGGAGGCTTGAGTCCAAGAGGCCATCTTATTAGCATTTGTGATATAAAACAGGGCAGAGTTCTGGACTAGCTGGAAGGGAAAATCAACAAGATCATTGGATGAGAACTCGGGAATGTGTCAAAGATGACTAAAGTTTCAGGGTTGAGATTCAGGGAGTGGTAGTTTCAAAATCAGGATCAGAGGGAGAGGAGGATGAGGAGAATCGTAAACCTGTGATTACCCCTTTACACGCAGTATCATATTAAGTATATTGGTATTTTAAAATAATTTTCTACCTGCTTGACCACAGAGCTAATTTAAATTCTCAGAAAAAAATTATAGTAGATGAACGCCTGCAAAGTGTGATATTTGATGGATTTTCATGGGGAGGAAAAAGAGTATTATAGGTATAAAAACTGAGAGGGATAAAGCATGGTATTCTTTCAGAGAAAGTGCCTACAAAGCATATGAAACATTGTGTTTTTAAGATGCAATTGGCAAAATAAAAAGAAACCATTACATTCCATCCTGTTAACTTTATTACAGATGCATTTTTATAACAGTTACTTATAAAAATAGTGTATTAGGTTAAACCTTCCCGATGAATAGGGGCTTTGTTCTCCCTTGGTCTAGTCATGTAACCATCATGCTTATTTTTTTTTTTTCTATTGGAAATGTTTTGTTTGGTGGAAGGAAAATGTGTACTTAATGTGTTTTCTAAATACCATATGTTTTTGTTTTTGTTTTCAAAGCATGCAAAGATACTGTTGACTGGGGAAAAAAATAAGTAACTCTTAGTAACCTTTCTATTTCTTTTTTTTCCTGCTTTTTCTTAGAGAATTCCAGTACTTCATAGAACATTTTTTGTGGAGTGGCACCTCACGGTGGCCCTAGGATCATGTGCCATCTGTATGCAACAGTAAACACCTTCCTATAATCATTGCTTCATTAATGACAGTGTGAACCAATGCACAGTGTTTATCAAATGGCATCTAAGACGGTTAAGGCACACCTAATCTTCTTGTTGGTGCCTGCCAAGAGTAGAAGGGTAAAGAATGGATATCAATTTTATTGTTCAGCATTCCCTAATTGAAGTCCCGAATGGTCTGAAAACTTAGATGAAAGATAAATGGGCTACAGTAATTAACCATTGCAATAACAGATGTTCTACAGGCAAAGTGTGTGTGCTAGAGGGGGGGCAAGCATGTTTTGATTTTGAATATGCACTTGGGCCAGCTCAGTCTCCCTCAATACTGGAAACCGTATGTAAATGTTTTGCAAGGTACTCATTTCCATGGCAGACATCGAATTGGTTTTCTTTTCCCCTTTAGAAAATACATATACATAGGCTTTGTCAAACAGTCCGATGACTTCAGTTTCATGTACAACCTGGATTTCTTTGGAATCAGTGGAGTTTTGTGATTTCCCAAGTGTTTACGATGCAGCTGCTAGCTTTGAGCTGGCTGTCTTAAAGGGTGTTTTCTTGCGCTACCCCTCTCTCTCTCTCTGGTCTGCCAATTAAGTGGCACTTTGTCTTGGTGCTATGATTGCTTTCTTCTGAGAGGGAAATTCCTCTTTCATCAGTATGGATGCACTGTTTTCACACACTGCAAGTGCTGTGTTGCTGTGTCAGTCATCCTATTAGGGCCGGTTTCAGACGAGGAGGGCTGACGAGCTGGCTGGGGATTGGCCAGCCCCGGCTGGGCGGGGTTTGCTGGAAGGAAGGGCTGCAGCGTACAGCAACAGAGTTTAGACTGTCTTTGCTTCATCATCTGAAGGTAAAATTTTCCAGATACGGCAGGCGGCTTTCAGAGTACAATAAACAGGGAATGGGAACTATTTGCGTGGAGATTTCTTCCTCATGATGTAGTGGAGAAGCCTCGGCCGCTTGATTCCGCCAGATCTTCCTGGGGTTACTGTAAATGGAAAGGACAGGCAGAGCTAAACAAGGTAGGAGAATCATCGCCTCCCCCTCCTCCTGTTTTTTTTTTTTTTTTGAATGTTTAAAGAGTTTGCTGCAGTATTGCTGCATTCCATGTGTGTTGCTTAGAGGAGCCAGGGAAACTGGATTCCACTAATTCAAACGGAATACTTGCGGGGGATCCTGGAGTTTTACGTAACATTCTGATCTGAGAAAAAGAAATGGCAAAGCTTGAGTCTGTCTGGGGTGAGGCATCAGATCGAGTTTTTTCTTCAAAGCATAGATTCATTTGTTATTCAAAAAAAGAAACATTTTAATTCTCGAAAGCCTTCTTATTTTCTTGTCATTGAAAATTGTCATGCCGCCATAGTTAACTCCCAAATAGATAAAGTTTATATTCATCCTATTATTTGAAAACAGACTTGCAATTAAGAATCATAATAATACTAACAACAACAACAAAAAACACTTCATGGTAAATAATTATCGATTGAATGTTTGGCCAAACATACGTCAATTCATTAAAAATGAGGGACCTAGCTAGCTCTATAATGCTAGGGCTCTAATTGAGTTTCAAAAACACATTTTTAACAACCTAGCAAGAGGTAGCTTTCTGGCAAGTTTTTGATACTGTAGTTCAATGTTTACATTTCTTTTTCGGGCATGTCTGAGCCTTTGTTTCCAGCTTAAAAGTGGAACCATTATATTCAAAAGTAAAGCTGGGTTAATAATGCTTACTGCAATTATCTGATCTTTATGCATTTTTAATGAGAACACACAGCCAGCAGAATAATTTAATGAGGGCAGGCTAGCTTTTAAAGCTGTGTTTTCACTGTGCCGAACCATATCAACTTTCTTGCCGAGAAGCAGCAGTGAGAAATGATGGAGAAGATTTATTTTTAACACACTTGGCCCAGGAGAAGGAAAGGATATATTTGCTAAAGAATTCTTTCTGCCCTTTTCCGTTTTAAATTTTCTACCAGGCATGAGGAAACTGTGCGTTTTTGTTAGGCCTCGGAAGCATGTGTTTACAATAAATGTGTAACATTTTTAGAATAGTTAGCAAGCACTGAAGCGAAGAAGTAAAAAATCCGACTTGCCTAACTACCACCACCTTGAAACATGACTGTTCCTTTAAAAGACAAAGGTTAAGTGGAAAGATATTTGTTAATTGGGCATTTGGGGAACAATATGGTAAAAAAAAATAAAAATACAAGGCAGGGGGACATTCTTATAATCTTTAAATAAGAAGAAGTTTCTTCAGCTCGCCTGCTTGTTTTCTGAGGAACAGTAGAAGCACCCATTTAAATAAGGGCAATGCCACGTAGATTCTTCTAGACTCACTGTTTTTACTTTCAAGGAGAAGTGCAGGACACTAGCCCAGAACTTCTGACGTCATCCCCCAACTATTTCTGCTGTGTGTTCCTTTATTCGGGCTTGTGGAGAGAAATATTTCTTTATGTCCTGGCCAGGAACATTCTAACTCCCAGTTGGCAGGACTTGAGTTATGTCTTCATATTTTAGCCTGTCCTTTGTAAACCCTATAACAATCCTCCTCCGAAATAGGGCATCTTCTCATACCTGCCTCACGGTGGGCCGGTCAGTGCAGGGTTTCTGCAGGGGTTCTTGGCTGGGCTGGCAGAAAGCAGTGGGGATCGGAGCACGGCTTTTTTTTTTTTTTTTCCTGGCCTGACTTCTCCTTGGTGCAGCCCCACACTGCCACGTGGGTGGACAGTCCCCAGGACCCCACTCCCAGTCCCCCCAGAGCCATTATTTAGAATCCAGGTTGTGCCACCAAGTTCACGGCTGGCTGTGATGGTGGGAACAGCTGCTTTCATAGAAAAAGCAGCATACCCTAGTGCAGATGGCCCCAAGGAGGGAAGTATAATACCGCAGGCTGTGACTCCCATGTCACAGGTGGCAACCTTGGTCTCGGGGATCAGGGGAAGGTTAATGTTTACTAAAGAGCCTTTTAAGGAATAATTTTGGTTAGAACACATTGAAGTTCTCGGGAGTTCCCAATGCTAGTCCGTGTCCTCCTTCCAACTACTTATGTAGCCTTGAGCAAGAGCCTACCTCAATTTTCTGTCTCTTAATAGAGTTGAATTATACTTGCTACACTTTCCTTCATAAATTAGCATTTTGAGGGACCTTGACCTTGTACCAAAAAAAAAAAAAAAGTTGTTTGTCTCTTGGCACAATGAGCTATTTAAAGTACAAAGGGATAAAACCCGTGGTATTAAGAAACTGTTGGCAAATGCCTTAGGGTATTAAGACACATAGGCATATATGCAAAACTCTTCATTGTACTTTGTGCTGCTATAAATTTTCTAGGGACATTTATCCTTAGACCCACAAATAAAATTTCCAAGGAAATCGGAGCACTGTGGTTTGCATTTTCCCCATCAATCTCGTCTAATATACTAAAAGCCGTGCAAACCAGACTATTCTAGACATTTAGGCCTCGCCGTGCCCAAAGCATTTAGTGTCATTTTTCCTTTGACTTCTGTATTAAATTTGTGAAAGTGTAGTGAATAAGAGAAAGGGAGAAAAAATATGCTTGTGAAATATACTGGTTATGCAGCTTCACTGGTTAACAGCCTGCCTTCTCTCTGCTAGTTGTTTTAATTTGCTGTTGCTATGGTGAAAACAAATCAATATCACATGGCTACCAGCCAGTCCCGCGCTCGGGAAGCGCCATAGAAATTCAAGATCAGGTACTCAAGATTCCAAGCAAGAAAGGGGGGGGGGGGGAGAGGATTTAGATAGTAAGCTTCAGAAAATTCCTTATAGTAGAATGAGTCGGTTCAATCTTGCCTGCATTTTCTCTTCCTCTCTACCTTCACTTTCTTAGCAATAACAAGAAAAAGATGAGAAGGAAGGCATATTGATTTGTTTACATTTCCAAAACGACAAAAACACGTTATCCACACGGAGGTGGGTTGGTAGCATTGCAGGGGGTAAAAGATTCTGATTAATGAAAAGATGACACAACTATAGGACGTGTTGGCTGTTGAAAACATGGTTTGGAGGCCTTTAATATCTCCAGGTATAGCTGCACGGCAGAGCTGGCCGGGTCGTGCCAGGCAGAAAAACCTGGCAACTCCAGGGAGCAGGTGGGCAGTGGAGATAAGGGGTATTATAAAAAGGTAGGGAAATGTGAACATCAAAGTCAGCAAGCAGTAAAGTCAAGACAGAGCTGTAGGTCAGAAGTCAGGCCTGGTGAGCAGGCAGGATGGGAGAGGACATCTTGACCTGTTCACAAGATCTGCCCGAGACCCAGCCCGAAGGCCTAGCAAGGAAAAAAAGGAAATGACTGCCAAGAGAAATAAAGGTGTACTGAGCCCAGACATCCTTTCTGGAATGGTTGACGGAACTGAAGGGCCACGGATGTCCACTGCCGTGTGGAGTGAGGAACTTGAGATTTCATGCTTTGGTTTATCTCGGAAGAATGAGGCAGGAAGACTTAGCCGTGCTTTGCAAATTAGTTACTATACTATTTTTTTTCTCCAGCTTTTTTACTCAGCTCGGTTTTTGTTTCTCTTTTTAAAAATGTGCACAAACTGTTCGTTGCAGCTGTGATAATATTCGTAGTAAGGAGTCAAAGGTGCCGTATGGCTAGGCCTGCGTCAGGCCTGTGCCTCCAACTGCACGGCATTGTTCTGGAGACTGGTCCCTGTCTCCACGGCTGAGAGCAAAAACAGGTGTGAAAGGTAAGGCCCGAGGGTTTCCTTTGTGAAGCTGATGGACAATTTTTTCAGCTGGCCTGGTCCCAGAAACATTTGGTAATAAAAGTGGACTCAGCAATTTACCTTAGCGTTTCGACAAAGAATGCATTGTCTAAGCTGTCCTAGCTAGTATATTCCATCAATCAGTCAACAAGTGTTTATTAAACACCTCTGGGTTTCTCTGGCTTTTGCTATTTTGTTAGAATACCAACTCCGTAACCTAATACCTGTCTTTGTGTGTGCGTGTGTGTGTGTGTGTATACAAAAATAAATGATGCAAACTTGTAAGTTTCAAGACTACAAATAATAACTTTATTGGCAAATATTAATTTAGCATTGTTTACTATCCGACATTAGTTTTAGGCTTGAGACAGTTTTGGAGTTTGAGGGGTGAGCAAGAGAAGGAGTTTCGAGTGTTAGATATCTCTATGTATGTCCTTTCTTCTCCTCTGTCATACTTCTCAGGATAAGTGCTGCTTAATGCATAAAGATGTAAGATGAGAAACGCACATTATGAGAATGCTGCAAAAATATCCAAAATATAAGGCTACTGAGAGCAATCCCTGAGTCTCAGCAAACAGACTTTCAGTCCCAAAGTGCTTGGGGCACATGAGCACATCATCTAAAGAGCCTTAAACGTCAGTGGACCATAGGAAATCTCAGAGCCCCTCCACACTTCCGAGCCGCAGGGTGCCCGTGACATCTTTATCTCCCTGTCCCCATCTCCAGCGACGAAACCTGAGACTGGAGGAGTATGCTTTTCTTCTTTATTCTTAAAAGCAGCGTTACTTTACAAAATCCATTTTCCTTTTCCAACACTAAGTTTTGTGGGGGTGTTTTGCTTGTTTGTTTGTTTGTTTTGCCCTAATATCCCAATTAGTATGTATCTCCCCGGGCACAGGCAAGCTGGGAGTTAAGGGCCCCAGTTTGGGAGAGAGCCGCACGAGCAGCAGCGTGAGGATGCAGTTTTGCCGACAGAATTCTTTTCAGTCCTGGGTCTTGCCAGGCAGAAGGGCAGGTCCAAGGTTTTGTGCATCGCAGGCAGGCTGGCTGTTGTAGAAGAAAGCTTGGGGGGCTGGGGGGGAGGTGATAAGTGACTTCAGAGGAAAAAGGGAGGAGGCAAAACACTGAGCCAGCTGCGGGCCCCTTTCCTGAGCAGTTTGCAATCCACAATGGTTAGGAAACAAGATACTTACAAACAAGATAAGAACAGTTAAGCACACAAATGTCTTCAGAAGGAGAATTAACATATGTGTAGTTTCTTACACTTTGCAAAGGGCTTTCACTGGGCCTTATCGCAA